AAAAAAAATTCAAAACAATTTACAGGCTCCGTGCGCGACAATAAATTTGACAATAAAATTTATTTATATTATTTCGATTCGATCGATTGAATTTGAAAACTTTTTTTTCTATGAGAACAAAACAAAAAGTAGAACTCATATATACGCACAAAATAGTTTAAATTTACTGCTTATTATAATAATTTCATTAAAACCACAAATTACACACATTTTTATTTAAAAAAATAATTAATTATTAAAATTAAACAAACAAATTTTCCTTTTTTTTTATTTTTTAAACATTTACGTTTACGTTTTTATAAATATTTACAAAAAGAAAAAAAAGATGAAACAAATTATATTTGCAAGAGAAAAAACGTAAACGTATAAATTTTCAATTTGACGTGAAATAAATATTTAAAAAAAAATGTCGGAAAAATTTTTTCTTCTCCCCCCCCCCCGCATTTTTATAACTTAAGAAGATTTATGAGGCTCTTGACTTACTATTAAAATACAATAATAACAACAAACCAAAAAAAAAAAAAAAAAAAAAAATCGATTATCGAAAGTAAATAAAAAATTTAAATTGCATCGTTTAAAAAAAAAAAAATTTTTATTTTTATTTTTATTTCCCCCTCCTCGTCCCCACCCACCCCCAATTCAAAACATTTACGATTTATTATTATTATTTTTTTTTTTGTTTACAATTTTTAATTCATTAAAATTATCATTTAAAAATAAATAAATAAATAAACAGTTAGAAATTTTTTTTTTTTTTTTTTTAAATAATTATTATTATTATTATTATTATTATTATTATTATTATTATTATTATTATTATTATTATTATCCTTAAATTAGGTTAATATTCTAATCAAAATAATAATAATAATAATAATAAGTTTAACGAATGACCGTAACGCAAAAATTTATTTAAATTTCACACAGCAATTTATACGTTTATGGAAAAAAATACATAAAAAAAAAAAAGTTCAAATGTTTTTACGTTTCCCTTCATTTTTTAAATGTATGCGCCATTATCAGAAATCACAAAAACAAATCTATTTTTACGCAAGTGTTAAAAAAAAAAAAAAAACGACGACGACGACGAAAAAATTAGATAAAAAAAATAAAAATGATGAAAATAATGAAAAAAAAACGTGCATGTGAAAATAATCGGGGTAAAAAAGAAAAAAAAAAAAAGCAGAAAATTTGATCTTGATTTCGTAACATGGCGGTGGCATCGACTTCCAAGGTTTTTGCTCAACGCCGATCCACGATTATGACAATCTTTTTTTTTTTTTTCTAATGACTACACAATCGCACGCTTAAAGCAAACTTGAATAATCATGTGTAGGTCAATTGAAAACCTGTTAAGGTCTAAATAAATGTTTAAAATTCCACTAAGATCGCAAAATTACCTTGAAAGGAATGAAGAAACTCCTTTCAAAGACGTCTCTCCCCCCCTCTTCCCTCTCTCTCTCTCTTTTTCCCCTACAACAGTTAACTACAAAACTAAATCATCAGCTTATCCCATTTTAAAAATTTTATCACTTCATTGATATTTATTTTAAAACAATTTTTTTTTCTTTTTTTTCTCCTTAAATACCTATAATACCTTAAATACCTATAATACCTTAAATACCTGTAATATCCGTCTTGGAATCTAATGACAGCAAAACAACAACAAACTTTTGCGTTCTTTATCTTTTCGTTAACTTTTGTTTTTGTTTTCCGTTGAATAACATTTGAGAAAATTTATTTTCGATAATAATAATAATAATAAAAATGATAAAATAAAATTTACAATATGTAAACAAAGTCTAGATGGCGGAAACACGAATCATTTAAAATAATGAATGTCAAAATGAAAATATTTGGCAAAAATAACAAAGAAAAATAAAAAAAAAAAAAAAAAAATGTCTGTGCTGACTCTCTGGCAATAAAAAAAAAAAAATTTTTTTTTTTTTTTTTTCAAATTTTCCGTATTTTCTACCGGTTAATAATAAGACGATGGGCAATAAATTAAAACGTTCACGGTCGACTCTTACAAACAAACAAACAAACAAACATTTTCCTCTAGTAAAAAATTTTTCCTCATCAAATAATAATATTATTAATAACCGTTGTTTGAAAAAAATGTTTGTTTTAAAAACAAACAAAAAAAAAAAGAAAATTTCTTTTCTCTTGTCCTTATTATTTCAATTGGAAAACACAATCGAAAATAAAATGTAAAAATTTTTTTTTTTTTTAAAGTTACAAACGAATTTTATTATTATTATTAAAAAATATTAATAATAATTAATACGTTGACCGTGACGAAAAAAAAAAAAAATTTATTTTTATATAAAATTTTTATATAATAAAGATTCACCTCAAATAATAAAAATAATAATAATAATACTAATAAATATGCAAGCTTCGTGAAAACAAACACGAAATAAGACACTTTTAAAATAAAATATCACATTAAACAATGATAATAATAATAAATTTTACAAAAAAAAAAAATGAATTGTTTTACGACAGCAGTAATTTTTATTTATGTGCAAAAAAAAAAACTCGAAATGATTTTATGTACATACGACATTTATTTATTCAATTATTAAAAAAAAAAAAAAAGAAGTAGAATTGCAAAAGGTAAGTTTTTATAGGTGGTCCCCCCCAAAAAAAGAAAAGAAAAGACATTAAACTCTGGCGTCGTTTTTTTTAAAAAAGAAGAAGACATTAAATCTTTGAAAAGTTTCTCTTTGAATAGAGAAGAATCTCTCGTTCTTCTTCCTTAAATAATATTTATGAATGCAAATCAAAAAAAAAAAAAATATTTAAGAATCTCATTAAAACATTTTCCACGATGCAAAATATATATTGTCAGGCAAGATGTCATAACTCATCCTAGTTTTTTTTTTTTGTTAAGCTCTATGCAATGCCTTTGCTATAAACTCTCTCGTATTTCAAAAAAAAAAAAATTTAGGCCGAAAAAACAAAACAAAAAAACAAAACAAAGAAGAAACTAAAACTTGTTTCATTCTCAGGAAAATAAAAAAACTTTTTTTTTTTTATTCAAGATGGCAAGTATT